GGTGGGCTTGACTTCTCTGGGGTCTACTCCAAGGAAACAGTCAACTACTATCCTTATCAGAAGGGAGTGGGACCTACTTGTTGTGGGATAAACAGTGGTGACTGCTTGCTCTAGATGGCTGATAACCCTTAGGGAGAATAACCCCTGACCTACTTCTGTTGACCTACAAGTGTATAGTCATTCGCCACATGTAGCAAGCAGCTAAGTTTCAGATATATTTGGGGGAGAAAACTTGCGAGAAATCTCTCAGTTTCCCACAAATTTTTTTCAAATTTGTCATTAGAGGTTGGTACATAATTTGAATAATAGTCATAATAGCTGGTCTTCATTTTAAGCTTATATATATTATCCTATCATTGACAGTTTTTTAGTTTAGAATTTTCTTGAAATATTTTTTCTAAAAGTAATGCCATCGTATGTTGTCATTCACATCAACGTAGACCATATGATAGCCTGAATTGGTATGGCCAATGCCTATCCATTTCAGCTCACTAATGCTTAAGATGTGAGTCTGTGGTGGCATAGCAAGCTACACATTGGGCTGCACACCACCAGGTTAGCAGTTTGGAACCACAAGGCATTCTGCAGGAAAAAGATGAGGCTAACTACTCTCACAATGAGCTTCAGTCTTGCAAACTCACAGGGTCAGTTCTGCCCTGTCTTTTTGGCTTGCGATGTGTTGAAATCAAAGCGATGGTTGTACGTGTGTGTGTTTTAATATTTAGGACATTAATCTTAACATGTTTCTTTTCATGTTTGACAACTTGCAATACACTAGATCCATATTTCATACATTGCGGATGAAATTATTAAAGGGCATTTCCAGTGGTTTCTTCTTAGTTTTGTTTTCATTGTCATTAGGTGTCATCTAGTCAGTTCCATCCCATAGTGACCTTATACACAACAGAATGAAACACTGCCCACTCCTGTGCCATCCTCAAAATGGTTCCTATGGTTCAGCATATTGTTGCACTACAATCAGTCCATCTCACTGAAGGCCTCCCTCGTTTTCCCGGCCCTTCCACTTTACCAAACACATTGCCCTTCTCCAGGTACTGGTCTCTCTGGACAACATGTCCTAACTATGTAACACAGAGTCTCACCCTTCTGGCCTCTAAGGTGTGCCCCAGCCATACTTCTTCTGAGACAGATCAGTTTGTCCTTTTAGCAGTCCCTGGTCCTTTCAATATTTTTCTCCAGCACCACAATTCCAATGCATCATTTCTTCCTTGGCCTCCGTTACTCAATGCCCAGCTTTTATATGCATTTGAAACAATGGAAAATACAATGGGTTGGGTCAGGCACACCTGACTCCTCAGACTAACAGCCTTTCTTTCCAGTACTCTAAAAAGGTCTTAAGCAGCAAATTTACCTAATGCAGTGCACCTTTGATCTTTTGACTGCTGCTTCCATGAGCATTGAGTGTGGATCTAAGCAAGACAACCGCCTTGATAACTTAATAGCGTCTTCCTTTTCTCCATTTATCATGATGTTAGCTATTGGTCCAGTTGTGAGGATTTTGGTCTTTTTAACCTACCAAAGGCTACAAACCCTGATCTTCATCAGCAAGGGCTTCAAGTCTTCCTGGGTTTCAGGAAGTAATGTTGTGCCATCTGCATATCAAAGGTCGTTAAAGCCTTCCTTCAATTCTGATGCCACATTCTTTTTCATGTAAACCCGTTTCTTTGATGATTTGCTCAGCATACAGATTGAATAAGTATGTATGGATAAGCACACAGATTGAATAAGAGGATACAACCCTGTTACAGTATACACCTTTCCACTTGTCTGCCAGTTTGTCATATTGTGGTGTCCTGTGTGTGGCTGTGATGCTGGAAGCTATGTCACTGGTATTTAAAGGGCAACAGGATCACCCAAAGTGAACAGGTTTCAGCAGAGCTTCTAGACCAAGTCTCAGAATAGAGTTTCTTATATTAAGTCATACATATTCAGCAAAGGAAGAGCCCCCAAACTTTACTCCATCCACATTAGTAAAGTTGACTACACTTTGTGGAATAAGCCCCTCCTAAATCCTATTTTGAGTGCCTTCAGAGGCTCACCTTCTGGCTCCATCTCCAACAAGAAATTGCTACTTTTCACGAGTTTTTCAAGGCCCAGGTGGTTTTCAGCAGGCGGTCTCAGGTCATCCTTCCTAGTCTATCTGAGAAAGGAAACATCACCGAAATCCTGGTTTAAAATGTGCAGGAGAGAATTAAGACATGGTTGCTGCAGTACGTCAGTGGGAAAACTACAGCAAATCAAGCCAGCTTCTGAAGAAGATGTGAAATTAGGGATATCATTGCTTATATGAGATAGATCTTGGATGGAAGCACAAAATACATGAAAGATGTTCATCTGTTTTTCATTGACTGTGCAAAGGCATTAGGCTATATGGATCAAAACGAATTATGGATAACATTGTGGAGAATGGGGATTCCAGTACACTTAGCTATGATCGTGTGGAATCTACATAGAACAAGGACAGACTTTCTAGCAAACTAGTGGATACTGAGGGTTTACAACCGGAAAGGTCCTGGCAGGGTTGTGCCTTTTACCATGTGCATTCCATCTGTATACAGAGTACACGATCCCACCGCTATTTCTGACTAAGCAACAGAAGCAGCCTGGACCCCCGGACACTCACTGCACCCATCTATCCAGCAAACAAGGCCAAAGAGGCCATGTGCAGAGACATTCCGCTGCGTTACATGCTTGTATTCCATCTGTACAACCTGGCGCTGTGCTTCAAGAGTTGGCTTGAGAATGTGCTTTAAATCATTAGAGGAAAATATAAACTGCTTTATTTTAAGGGAATAAAACCAAAACTATGGAACCGTGGTTTCTATATTGTTGGACATCATGTGGAAAGATGTGATGTGACACATAATCTATATGAGTGTGTACATATTGATGAAGGGCTTCAAAACACTTTGATGAGTATATGTATGTGTGTATTTGTGTGTATGATGGAACTGTATTACAGGTGACAAGTAGAGATCAGAGGTTAGACATAAAGAATATTTATAAGATTTCAAGGTGCATGATTTCATTATTTCTATTTCAAATAGTTTTTGATAATATCTAAATTTTCTCTAAAATAATTGCAGAATTCTTTTCTTTTTTTAAGAACAGAATAAGTATAATATATATAATTACACACCAAAAGGCTTGCAATTATAAAATATATACATATTTTCTCTGTTTGAAATGAACTGGTAACTCATTAAGGACTCCAAGTGCACTTCAGTCTTACTTTTCTTCCCGTTTTCTCCACTCAGGCCAATTTTTAGCTTGAGATAAAATCTTATTTTTGAGAGTTATATGTAAATGATTTTTCTTTAATTACTAAACATAAATCTTTCAACTCAAAGTATCTAATATTAGATTTTATTTGTAGTAGATATTACTACCACTTTTTAAAAGTGCAACAACACTAAATTTTAGGGTTTTCTGTTTTGCACTACATCTGTGAGGACAGCTAAGGTGCCCCTATATAAAAGGCTGCTCATCATCCTCAGAAATCACATAAGACAAGTTTAGAACATGTTGATTCTCAGAACTAACTATGTTATCCTAAATTGTCTGATGAATATGGAATATTATTGCCTTTTATTCATCTTTCACTAATATTATATAATATATCTTTCAGCTTAAGGCTTTCATTAATGAATCAATTTTAATTTAGAGACTAAACAAAATACTCATTAAGCCTGACAAATCGTAGCCTCTGGTAAACACAATGCATTTCCACTCAAAATCAAATTGAGTTCTGCCATAGATGATTTAGTTTTTTTTTTTATCTTGCCAACATCATAACAAAATTCAGAAATGTAGTGCTCATCAAAGAATTAAGCATCTCTACAAAACAGACAGAAAATTGTTGCCCAAAGATATTACATTTTTGACATAAATGAACAAGGGCATAATTCCATACCACACTTGGCACCAATAAATGTGTGAGAAAGGACATTATTTCTCTATAGAGAAATCTAATTATAGAACACTTATTTAATCAAATGTATTTTCTGAGTAAACCTCACAAGAATATGGACATTCTATACTTCTTTGCCTTTTTCAGAATCATAGTTAGTTTGATTAATTGTAGTTTCAACATGCATAAATCAATCTATGATCCTTAGTTCAACAGCCATTAAAGATAACTGAATTCATATTTGTATTTAAATGATGTATTTGATTAAATTCCTAGTATACATAAAATTACCATTTTAAATTGTGAGATATTGGCATTTGCAATAAGTAATCTGTCATAAATACTTTTTAATGTAGCATATTAGGATTTTTAATTAGTTTATTGTTAAGTTACTGGTGCTATTATTTAGTTGAATGTAAAGAACATAAATGTAAAACCTTAAAAATGGTGTGTTAAAGTAATAGTATCTTGTGTTAAAGTAATAGCATATTCTATATTTAGCATTATAATATTAATTATTGGATTAATATCAGTAATAATATCAGTAATAATTTCAAAACATTTTACATATATTAGTAATTTGATATTAACATTTAGTGATGTTTATTCATTTGGGCTAACTACTTAACTTTAAAGCACCACTTTGTACTGCACTTAAAGTGGCACGTCTTAGTAATCAATAATTCTATCTAACGCTCTAAAAGTGTATGACTACCTTATCTTCACCATTTTATAAACAGTAATGGGTTGTCTCTGTCAAAAAATACTTATTGTATTCATATTGTGCCAGTTCTTGCTTAACCCATATGAAATTTCTAACTTTAAATCCTGATGTGTTCAATTAAATATTAAATTAGTTAATATCAGTGAACAGAATGCATTTGTTTCTGTTGTCTGCTTTTTTAAATGGATAATACAGATGTTCCTTAATAAGTCTAAAATCCTAAACTGACCTAAATCCTATTTAAATCTGTATAACAGGAATCAGAATAAAATCAATATCGGTGTTGTTAATTATTGGATTTTCTGTAAACTTATTATTTCTTCATTTCTTTTCTTTTGACTTCAGATGTAATAACAGGACCCAGTGTGCCGTGGTAGCAGGTCCTGATGTGTTTCCAGATCCGTGTCCGGGAACTTATAAATACCTTGAAGTGCAGTATGAATGTGTCCCTTACAGTATGTATATTCCTATACATATTTTATCAAAAAGAAAAGATGATAAGCTGTGATTTGCATGTATTGAGAAGATGTTCTCTGAGAAACATAAAAGAAACCCTATATCAATTAAATGGGGGAAATTGTTTGGAATGTGAAGGCTCTCACCCTCCCTAGAGAAACGTAAGTCCTTACGTCCAGAGTGTTACAGCTTTTAGTTGACTACACATTTCTTTCTGTGAATACCTGTCCCAAAACACTGTATCACGCAGCAAGTTGACATATAAGCACTCCGTAAAAGTTGAAAGTGTAGTGTGTCAATCTTACCCCTCTCTAAATTTAAATAAACAGGAAGTAAAATATACAATATACTTGTAAATTTAATGGGCATAGAAATTTATAAACTTTTATTTGGTAGAACAAAACACACCTTGCCTTCCTTGGTTGTCAGTATTTGGAGGTTTAGAAAGGTATGCCTTCAGAGGGAGCTGACGGAAAGAAAAGTGCAAGGATTGCCTGCTGACCCTCTCTACTGAGTATTCCTTTCACTGCCACTGGAAGTGCCTTTGCATCTTTATGTGGTTATGTATACCAAGTGCATATTTTTTAAATGCAAGTGAAAGAATAATTAAACAACTTAAAATGAATAGTGTATGCATTTTCTACCCAAAGAAAGAATAACAATCTCAAATAAAACTGTGTTACCAGATTATTTCATTATTCATGAGCTTTCTCAAGGAACCATCACTCAGGAAATCTATTCCGTCTACCTGAGAGGTGGAAAACACCTGGGCTCAAAAATAAATCTCCAGTTCCTGCTTCCACTGCAGTTTCAGAACGTGAAAAGTACCCGAGGATCAGCAAATGCACTGTGCCAATGGAGTCCTTGGGTTTCCTCAGTCCCGGGTGCTTCAGGCAGTACCCGTTTGCCACCTTTATGCCATTTCATTTTAGTATAGCATACTCGTGTTTATTTACATGATCTTCTTTGCTTTTAACTTAAAAGAATAATCTAGGATTGGGAATGTGTTTAACAAAGTTTACATGATTGAAATGAAAGACAATTCAAAAGAGAGTATAAATCATAAAGCAATCACTACTTCTTTGAAAGGTGGGTTGGTTGGTTGAAGCAGGACCAGAGATTGCTTCAGGAACTGAGTTTAGCATATGATCTGGTTACCAGAAGCAAAACAAACAAATTATATGTCTTAGGTACCTATTGAATTTTCTACATCTTTATTTTGCAAATCCTCTCCAATCTTCCATGAAAGAGATGCAGTGGCACTGTGGATTAGGCATTACCTAATTCGGCTGTTGGCCACCAGCGAGGTTAGCACGTCAAATCACCAACTGTTTTATATGAGGAAGATGGGGCTATCTGCTCTTGTAAGGATTTGCAGTCTTGGAAACCCTATCCAGAATTATTCAGAGTCCCAATCGACTCAAGCAGTTGGTCTTTGGCATCATCGGTAAGCATGTATTCAGATAAACAATTTTCTCTTCTCAAGAATAAAATGCTGAAAGGATTCTTTCAAGAGATGCTGTATTAGGAACGAGGGTCACTATTTTACTGGGGAAAACTGAAACTAAAAATGAGTTAAATAAATAAATGCCTTATGTAGAATACCTAGAGAAAGGTAAAGCCAAGACAAGAGTCGGCTAGGCCTGTCTCTCATACTGTTCTTAAAGACCCTGCTGTAATTCTCTTTGTAGACTTTCTCTTGTGTATTTTCACAAGATCTTCAGTCTTATTCAATATTTACCTTTCTTATGGTAATGGTACTTAGTGATAGCAGTTCGATTTAAGGGCTCAAACCCTGTCTTAGCCTCTTAAAGACTTGAATTACTTCGTCTTCCCTCATGTAGTTCCTTGATGCTATGATGTGTCATAAAATTCTACCTATAATTTAGGATGAGCTTCTTTTCTAAAGCATATTTTATAAAGCTTTTTCAATCATCTGTATTACAAGAGAAAGACACCGAGAGGTCAGCAGTTCGCCACTCCCCAGGTGGAAGATGAGGCGATCTGTGTCTGTGAAGACAGTAGCCTTAGATATGCCTGGAGCCACTGACAGTCTTACAGGGTCAGTGTGAGACAGAATCGACTTGATGACAGAGAGTTTTGTTTCCTGTTTGAATTTACTCTAAGAGAAAATTATTGTACTTCACGCTAACTTTATGATACTTGATAAAGGATCCATATTACACAGATAACATCTTTTTTAAACAGTTTAGAAACAATGATTAATATTTGAATAATTTTACTGAATAGTTTAGTAAATAAACAAACAAATATTATTTCGATTGATTTGTTATGCAGCTTAATAAGATCTATGCCTTTTGTGGATTTAAGAACATACTGGTCAATTAAAAAGTATATTTGATATATATGAATGCTTTCTTCTTTATATTTATATATAGAAGAAACACCATTTTTCCAGTTTTCATTATATGTTTGCGTGTGCACATGTCCATAGTATATTTGTTCTTAAAATTACAATCCCATTGAGTAAATATATAAGAAGCAATTTTTCTTCAAAATATATGAGTAATAACGATGTATATCTGAGGGTTATAAATCAGCCCATGGAGCAGCTGAAGGCGGGCAGCCACACACACATCTGCGTCCCCGTGCGTAGCTTTTTAGGTGTCCATGAATAGGGACACAGTTCAACAAAGGCAATTTTAGACAAAGATTACCACAACCAAACAAGTCATATGGCATTTAAAAGTGATTATAGGTGAAAAAGAAAAGAAATAAAATTAATCATTGCAAACCGTTGATTGAGACACACTTAATTGTGTCTTGTACTCAATTTTTCAGAATCAAAAAGTTATATTTGCTCTTTTCTATGGGTTTCCTCTGGTTACTCCTGGTCTGAATTTTCTGGAATTCACAGATAAGCTGTTTCTGACCAAATTTAGGATAGATAAATCAATTCTTTTCTTGGTTCTTGTCACACCTTGGTTCCGGTGAGACTTTGTGTTTTCCTTTGAAGTTTAATTTTACCTTCTTAGGGAGTTTCCACCCCCACCCCCTTCCCAGGAGGTGACCCATATATTTCAGAGGTTAAGCCTCACCATTGACCAGTAGCAAGTTTTTAGTTCTCCATTCTTCAGGTTTTTCCCTACTGAAGCCTCTTCCCTTCTGACCCCATTCCAGATTAAAACAATGTGACCCTTCATGTTAAACTGCCTTCATGTAGCCAGGTTACAGGAATGGTTTGTGTTGGGGTGAAAAAAAACCTGACAACAATGAAACCACTAGCTGCCTGAGAGTATTTCTAGCAAAACATCTCTACTTGTCTCCTGCTGACAAATTGTCTTTCTTCGGAGGCATACAATTTCATGCACATTGCACTAAGAAAACGGCTTGTCTTCCTCACAATTCAGCTCTTCTCTTGAGTCCTTTGTTTCTTTCTCTCCGAAACACAAAGCACATATTACTTAGTCTAACAATCTTTTCTTAGAGTGGATTGACTTAGGAAATGAAGGGGGTAAAGTGCATAATTTAGAGAGCTACTAGAAATGAGTGTTGATTAAACCAATTTTAGTTTTTTTATAGCACATACTGACTTTTTCAGTATTCTCGCTGGCCATCAGAATACTGTTGTGGGTAATTATCTTTATAAGCCATGAAAAGTGGGTATTGTAAATGATTATTGGTAAATAATTAACTTATAGTTTTGTCTTTTTGACATCTAGATACACCAAAATTATTTTTATAAATAAATATATTTTTAACGAACTTGCAAATTTGTACATTTTACTATATGCATACTTTGGCTCTTATTTCATATAATTACATAATTATGTTATTAAACACAGTTTGCTGAAATTATACTAGGAGCCCTGGTGTAGTGGGTGATGTGTTGGGCTGCTAACAAAAAGTTCAAACCCCTAGCCACTCTGAGAGATTGACTTCCCTAAGATACACATTTTTCCATTCAAGTAAGTCAATCAGTAAGGCTCAAGATTCCCAAATGTTATAAGAATGTTAGCTCGTGAAATATATTGTGTTAGTCTGGGTATTTTAGAGAAACAAAAACACAGAAACTCATGTTTTAGATAAAGGTTAAGTGTGCATCAAGAAAATGTCCCAACCCAGTGCTGCCCAAGCCTACAAGTCCAACATTAACCCATTAACCCATATATCCGACATCAGTCCACAAAGTCCTCTTCTATCTCACCAAACAGAGGCAATGATGCCAACTGCAGGGGGAAAGCTAAGTCAGTGAACGTGTAAGCATCTCAGAGCTGGCAGGGGTCTCCACACAGCTGCTCCAGCACCCAGGGCTGCATTAGGGTAGGTCCATGCGACTTCTCCTCGGGGATGTCTTGCACGAAGTGAGCTTTACCAGCTGAAACAGGGAACTGGCTAAGCCAGCTACACCCTGGTGCGACCATCACAAAGCAAGAGACCCTAGAACTAGAAAGGCTCCCTGAGCCATTTATCCCTCCGCCCTTCAATTAATCCCACATGTGTTTATTGGCCAGGTTGGCACAATAAACCAACTACCCCAGGTATTAACTGTTTTATATTAACAATGAAAAGATACCCATAGCCAAGTGGTAGATGAAGGTATATAGGAAAGAGAGTCGGTGTCTTCAGAGAAGGAATCTGTGAACTGAACCTTAAAGAATAAATAGACTTGAGTTAGAAGAACCAATATTTTTAGCTGAAAATGCTGTGTAGAGTAAGACACTGGACGACGACAAGTGTGGTTGGCTTTCCTGCTAGCTGTGTTTTTTCTGGGATCTGTGAACCATCAGACAGTGGGCAAAGAGAAGATAAGACCGTGAACCATTTCTCAAGGTGATTAATTGTTATATAAATAAATGTTTTACTGCAAATCTGCCAGAACCAACATTAGTTAACTCAAGTACAATAAAGGAAAGCTAAACATTGGAAGGAAATGGTGTAATCGTTTCAGAATTAAAAGAGAAAGGTTAAACACCAGGCACGATAAGATCAATAAGAACAGCAAAATACCAAACAAGTTATCTAGATAGCAAGAACT